CTTACTTCTAAAAATTTCCTTCTCTGTCTATCCTATTTCCCCACCCCAAAAAACTCTATAACCACTGTTTTTGCAGGAAAAAATGCTGGGACTAGGAATATATAAGTGGGGCTACATAAGCTACTTTTGCCCGTATTTCTGCCATCTATTCAATTACCTGGGCCTCGCATATTTTCGACTATTCAAAGCATTAAAGTCTAAAGGGGTTACTATACGGTGCGGGGTTGGGTGGTTAAGCTTATGACACGAACCCGCCAAACAAGACCAGTTTACGCAACAGGATTTACAGACCACTGGTGTATGAGGTGAATGGTCAGAGAGTCCTGGGGTTTTATGATTCATTTGGGGTGAAGTCTGCTGCACCTCGAAACTGTCAGCTGCAGGACATATATATTCATGTGTTTTTCAGGTAACTTTAGATATAAAGGAATGAAACAGGGAAACTTACTCTCCTGCAAAGAAATTCTTTTCGGTGATTCCCGTACAAACTGAGGCTATAGCGAAAACGAAGATTATCACGCCAAGAGATGTGTGAGTGGGCAATACGGTTGCGCGAATCCTTGCCGAAATTCGTGGCATAAGGAAGGAAATAAATCCGATGAGCCACTGAAATACAAAAGAAAGAAAGTGTGAATTGTATGGAAATAAATTTGTACCTTTTTTCGAAGGTCTCGAGTATCCACCTAACTGACAGTCATACAATACTGCCTATTTTAATTGTAGATTATTGCAAACAATGTGGCTCGGGATGTGACTTTTATCGCCAGAACGTTGACAACGATACTAAGTTAAAAGCCAAATTTGCCTTTAGGAGTTACTATTACGGATACCCTCTGACTGACTTATTTCGACTGCTTGCACTGTTTGCTACAAGAAACGCTGAAACAAAATGAAGGAAAATACTGTGTCAGTGCTTTCGATCTTAAAAAGAAAAAAATATGAGTTTTTCAAATGTCAGCCAAACTTGTGCAATAACTGAAGGAGATCCTTCACCCGGGCTCCTCTACGTAGAAGTATAAAAAAAGCTTTTTGATGTCGTTATTAATGAAAAAATTTGTTAGCAATGCGAGTTCATTAGTAGAGAATGTCACACAATTCGTTCGTTGGAATATAAGTTTTAAGGCGTCAATCTATGAAAGAAATGCGATCCTTTTACGGATGAATTGTTTACTATGCAGGTATGTTGGTGATATATTGTACTTAAAGGTAGAGGTGCATGCAAATTTTTACATAAAGACGCCTTTCACGTTAGGGTGTCGCTTAGAGTTCTCTAGTCAAATCTGATTTGTCTCCGACGCCATCTTGGACGCGGGTAAAAAAAACAGGATTTATCAACTCAACAGATGGTTTTGTTCATCCCTTTGGAGATCAAACACATAAAAGGATAAAATGCATGATGCAAAAAATGCATTTTAAGTTTCTGGCCCGTCGTTGCAATGCGTAATGAGCATGAGAAGCAAATACCATTTATTTTCATCTACTGTACCCAATAAAGTAACTGTTCTTGCAACCATACAGACCAGACCGAACGAAAACTGCCATCACGCATGTATGAGTGTAAAAGAGTTGAGTCGTGGAGATACGTTGTCCCAAATCTCAGCATACAACTTGTAGATGGACAGTTGCTCTTCACCCAGATTTTACACTGACCGATGATGAGATGGTCGATCCTAGAAACCCTGCTACGGACTCGGTGAACCGGCACACGATTCCCACCCGCATAGTTTAATTTGTGAAATTATTTAAAGGCCTAGAATGCTGATAAGTGCCTTGTTATAACCGCTCCATGCGGGCGGGTTCTTTGGCTGCTGCCACAGACAGAACACCTGGGCGATCGCAAGAGCCAAAATTCG